TATGTGGGCATTCCAACCCGATGGTTGTGGGCCGAGGGTATACCATCCCGAGGATGACTGGACCCGTAGTATGTGGGCACTCCAACCAGATGGTTGAGGGTCTGGGGCATTCCAACCCGATGGTTGATTGGGCCGATATTATGTTGTTATTATATGTGTGTTACTTTTTGTGCAGGTATTTTGGGGGAACTCACTATGCTTCGGGCTTACAATTATTGATTTTGTTTCAGGTACCTCAGATGATCGCGGGAAGGCGAAGGCGTGATCGTGCACTTCCTCATGTTTTTATTTCTGGGATACTCTGATATGAAACTACTTTGAAAACACTTTGTAATAACTTAATGGTTTTGAATGGTTGAAAAAGTTTTAAATTGTCTTGATTTTTATGAGCGTTACAATAGATCTCTAAGTTGCATGGTCCCATAAATAGTTTTTATGTGAATTCTATTGTGCAAATCTTTATTTTGTAACCTACAAAACTCATCAGTTATGAGCATCAACCGGTAACCTTCCTAAATGACAATCATTATATATATATATATATATATATATATATATATATATATATATATATATATATGAAAGATCTTTGTGCTCAATAATCATAATAGGGTGATTACTAATAACATATGACACTAAAGGGTCACACTAATAGTAACTTGATGCAATTAGATTATTTATAAGAAGTTGATTCTTTATAAATATTTATAACTCTTATAATTAATTGGGAATTATTTATTCTAGGAAAATAATAATTTTCAATGATAAGTATCATAATATAACATAAGGTATGATTTATTAAGTCATATAGATTTTTTGGACTAGAAAGACTTTTTGTCTTTTAGCTAAAGGGATAAGGTTTTATAAATGCTTAAAGAAATTTATACAGATTTTGTCTTCTTTTCTGGCTTATTGTTGTGGATTTAAGGAGACAAGAAGATGGGTTTCTTTTTATTAGTTTATTGTATGAGATATGCTTTAGAAGCATGGCATATGATAATAATAAACTATAGGCTTAGAGGTATGGAGAGCTAAAAGTTTTAAGATCTCTTGGGTAAAGATTTGGCTTTATGAAGGATTTCGTCTCTTCTTTTTGCATGTGTGTGAAAACCATATATGCATCCCTTATATCTCACTTTCTCTCATGCAAAAGTGTTAGAATATTACTTGCATTCTCTTTAATACATTACTTGGATAATTGTCTTAAAGCTTAAGAGTTATTCAAGACTAGCATCTTATCAGGTTAGCTCATTGTTGGTGTACTACTAAGGCGTAGTTCTACTCTACATTCTTCATTAACTTCAAAATCCTCTCTTTAGGACTCAAAGAACTACAAATGTTGTTAATCTTTGTCCATCTATGGTTGTGTTTTCTTTCCAATCTTTGCAAGATGATCCTTTGGTGGTAATAAAACTAGTTTATGTTATTTAAATTAAAAATGCTTCCGTTGCCATCTTTGTGATTTAGAAACTAATTTTTAAATAAAAACACAACAATTGGTATCAGATCCATCTCTCAATCTTTGTTAGAGTTTTTTTTTATTTGGATAATCTTGGTTTTCGGAAAATATTGATAACTTGTTTTTGTTAAAAATAAGTTCATACATATTTTCTATGACCAAATTATAATTGTTATTTTAAGTGACAAAAGTTTATATATGCATATTTTGTTATTAAAGTTGTTTTATAAAAACAAAACAGAGGTTGTTTTGTATGTTAATGTATTTTAGAGTGCATAAACAAGTCATGACCCAAATATATTGTTGTTTGTGATGATCTATAAAATGGTTGTAATATTCTTTTATTCATATGGAATGTAATAAATAGTTAGTTTTCATCTTTATTATTTTTATAGTCTACTTCTTAATCCATATAAATTTAGTCTTGGAGGTGGTCCCCTATACCATGTAAGGAGAAAAAGAAACTTGCAAGCAACCGTGATTTCAAAGTTTTTATGTCTTATGCTGATGACAATTAGAAGTGGTCGTGGAACTTGTCGGTCTTCTTTATGCTAAAATCTTTGAGACTATAGATTGGACTAAACATGGTTGATTAGAGTAATTCCAAGATGCGATGGAACTTTTTTTTGTTATGATTAAATTAAACATTCTTCCTTGGAAGATCGTAAATAACTATTTACCGACTAAATTTAATCTCAGTGTTTGTGAAAATCAATTTCCATTCTACTATATGCACGTTATATAATGGATATATTTATAAAATAAATGAGAAACACAATAAAAAAATCACACAAACACCATGATATAAACTAGAAACCCGAAAGGTAAAAACCACTATCAATGGAAACTACTTCTTAAAAGCTTACATTGTTGATATAACTCTAAAGAGAGAGGAGAAAAAAGTTGTAGGAATCATCCACAATAAACGAGAACTCATTGTGGATGTAACTCTTTTGGAGTTTCGGGTTATTGTCCTTTCTATTTCTGACTTTCAAAGGCTTTCAGTTTTGGGAGTGTTGGGATCCCGAGACCTTATCACTTGTTCATTAAAGAAAACAAATTTGAAGATTGTTTAGCTTTATTCGAATAATTTAATATTGTAAGGTATTTTCTAGACTTTATTATTGTAAGGTACTTAGTAAGCATTATGGTACCAAAAGGTTTTTTAGTTGAAAGACGTTTTTGCCTTACAAAATTCGATTTGATGTTTTTACTTCTGTAATATCTCATCTCTAATTTGGATAGAGCCTTGTTTTAGCAAGGTACCGATTTTAGTTCGTAAGTGCATTCACGACCATGTTATACGATGTGGTATAAAATCCATTTTGGAATAGGCGGCTTGGTATCTTTATGTTTCTTTTTGATGCATTTATAACACCTTAAAGGTATTTTCTGAGGTACTTGCATTAATCACTTTGGAAGTTTATATTCATCGGCGTTTGAGTGATTTGATCCATCACCATATTTTTCTCATTTATGTTGTTTGACAAAGTGTAGTCCTTATAGACTTTTAACAATACTTATTTTCAACTTAACTGTTTGAAGTTTGAAGGTTATTTTTATTAAACATCAGTTTTGTATCAAGGGAGCGTTTGTTGAAAATGCATTGAAACCCTTTCTTGGATCTTAAGTTAACCATCAATTATGAAAGTATTCTATTTGTTATGGGTTTTAGAGTTTGTTAAGGACTCTTTGTAAGTCTATTATATAAATCCATTTTGATGTCAAATGGTATTCATCCCTACATCTTATTTCTCTCATATTTCCTTGAAATTTTATCATCCGTGTAACATTTTAATAAGTGCCATTGCATAGTTGTTTTTTTCCGATTGTGGGTTTCCATTTTATATTGTGGTGTTACATTATTCTTTGTGTTAGTTTCTTGCGTTCCAAGCTTTTTCATATTAATCGTTAGTGTTATGGGTGGTTTTCTAGCATTCACATTTTATAACAAATACATTGAGTCAGATTGTCACATTTTTCTCTCTTGACCTATTTCTTGCAAGTTGTTGGTGTAGTTTGTTTGGTCTTAATATAACTCTTCCTCTAGACCAGAGCTTGCTCCTTACCATGGCCAATTTGACTACTTTTTGTTCCTTCTAGACAATGTTGTTCGATCAATATCCCCAAGAATCATTATTGAGTGATATTACTAATGACATATGATCCTATAGGGTCACACCTTAATCAAGTTGGTACTTGTTGAATATTTATTAAGTAAATTGTTATTAATTTAATTAGAGGAAAGTTATTATTTTATGAAAAAAAAGTAACAAAAGAAACAACAAACTAGTCATTATATCATATAATATGATATAAAATTTATGTACAAAGTTTTGGACACTTTGGTTAACCATGGCTAGATAGTTAATTTATCTTTGGCTAAAATAACTAGTCACGAAATTTTGTCTTCTTCTTTTGACCTATATGGTCGAAAGTTTGTTGGAGACATGGAGGTTGCTTGTCAACCTCCATGACTTGCTTCCATGCTTTGTCTACCTTACCTTTATGTTTTATAATAATTTAGAATATTATAATCAAAAGGCTTTACCTTGCATGGGATATAAAATGAGACTATTTGCATGAAAAACTAGCTAGTTTTTCAGCCTCTTTTCTTCTCCTTTTTCTTGCACAAAACTGTAGGTAGTAAAGAGCTTGGAGCTCTCTCTCTTTTGAAATTGTTACTTGGCTTTTGGTGCTTCACTTTGTATCTTCCTTTAGTGCTTAACTGTTTAAGCACTTAAGGCTTAAAGAAAAGAGTCATACAAGAAGAAAACTAGCATTTTGGGTACCTTATCTTGTTGGTGGATTACATGTAGAGAATATCAAGCTTATTGTTCTTGCCATCTAGTTCAGCACCCCAAATCCAAGAGGGTCCAAAGGCTTCAAATGTTTTCATTCTAAAACACCATATGGTTGTTTTAATATCATTCTAACCTCTTTAAAATTATCCTTAATGGTTTGGTTTTGTTATATACTCGAAATTTATAAGAAATATTTAAAGCTTATGTTACCTGTTTTTATGAAAAACTCTCTATTATATATATATATATATATATATATATATATATATATATATATATATATATATATATATATATATATATATATCAAAACCCATCAAATGTAATATTTCTTACTACTTTGTGGGCTATTTGCAATACAAAACACATATTTATGTTCTAAACTAATTGTACTTGAAGTGACATTGATATTGATATGGTCAAGGTTCTTTCTCACTTATGAATCTAAAACATGTGTAAATTTTATATTGATTGGTTTTTTTTGGACATCTAACTCTTTGAAGACAATATCTTCCTCCGTGTAATTCGATTTAGTTAGCCTATTTATACTTATTATGTTTTCCGTTTAACAACAAAAACTTTTGCTAAACTATATTTCTACATCAGGCGAGTGGAGAAAATTTTAATAAATTTTAAATAAGAAGCAAAAGAAGGGAAACAAATTCTCATTTTTGGAAGAATATTCAATTATAATACATAATCATACAAAAATGAAGATAAAAAGAAATTAAAATTAGGTGTGATGTCAAACACATATATGGTTTTACAACAAAATAAACAAATGCCTTTCTAGAGCATATTAATTAGGTTGCCATCATAATTCAATATGAATTTTGCATAACAAAAGAAATCTCAAACTTCAACTTGCACATGCTCTCAAATTCTATGTATTCATGTAATTTTTCATAAAACAATAATCTCAAACCTCAATCTTGCACATGTTCTCAAATCCCATGTATTCGTGTCGATGAATATCATTTATCATATTTGAAATTCCAACTCCACCTGTTATACAAATACACATGTTAGAGGAGAAGAGATGTTTTAAAAATGATATATGATGTTTTGTACTTATCTATTAGTTCTATTAAAAAATATAAGGGATTTTTTAAAACATGACTAAAATAAGTCGGACCACATTAATATTTCGAAAATAGTGTATAATCTTCTAAATTCATTTTTCCATTATCTATGAGAAAAAAATATAGTTTTAACATTATCTCTTGGAGGATGTTTTCCATATGTCATTAAAATTTACAAGACATGATTTATGGTTCAATTAACATGTAAATAATGTGTTACATTGCTAGTTATCATGTCTCTTGAATTAAAAAGGGAACCAACAAACTTACCTAACGAGATTGCACTAATAAAAATGATGGATGCGAGGATAAATATGATTAGAGATGTCCGTCCCAAAAAAATAATCAACCTTCTCACAAAATGTTGCCCAGCGGAAGCAGCAATTGTTGCCACAACAACGAAGTAAAAAGCTGTGAAGTACGTATGCAAAAATTAGCAAACTAGTACATAACATAAAATAGAAAGTTAGTATCTTATTTATACAAATACACACGATCAAGGTAATAAGGGATTGTGTCTTGAGTGGGAGGGTTGGGTTGATAACCCGATGTCTTCTTATTTTTAACCGTTTTTCTTTTCTAGCAACTTGCTAGTATGGTATTGAATTTTCACCTTGTTGTTAAAAAAATGAATGCACATGATCGGTCCAAATATGTTCTTATTATTAATTAAATCCATGTTAACCAATGGTAGTAGCTTTTTCAGTTCTTCTCCCTGAAGATTTATAGAAAAATATGAAATATTTCTTCACACTCATTCAATATTCATCAAATGATTCTAAATGGTTCTAAGCTTACATGATTTGATGATATTGAGAATACACTTACCATAAGGAACAGGAAAGCGCTTGAGAAGATAATATTCCACAGAAGACATGGATGATGAGAACATCATTGCAAATGTTGCAGTGGCACTTGAAACCTACACAATGATGATCAAGTACTTTGAGTGTTAATTGCTTGGAAACTGTTTTGTTTGTTGGTTATGGTTACTAAAAAAATCATACTAAATAAGAACAAAAGATACCTGGGGAGGTATTCCGAGCTCCAAAAAGAGAGGACCCATAATCAATCCTCCACCAAGACCAAGTAGGCCCCCAACCATACCGGCTAAAATTCCACAAAAACAATATATGATCAATTGACAAACTCGAAGTTTGGTGTTTGAATCTCCCTTAGATGATATCTTTCTAGAGCCCTTATATAAGCTAACAGCCTCGTAACCTGATACCCCAAAAGAAACAGGAACCTAGGTGGGCAAGGAATAACATAATTATGTGGATATGGATTTCCTAACACTACACTAATTATGTGCAAAAAGTTTTCAAATTCTTGAAGATACCTGTAACAAGTTCAACACCCAATACCATATCGAACAAGTGGATGTGTAAGTCTGTTTCACCAAAACACACCAATTTTAAGTGAATAGATCACATAAGACCAAAATTTATTGAAAACCTTCTTGAGGAAAATGTAATATAATAATCATATATGATAAAGAACCTTAAAAATTTGCAGTCCAAGGAATGCGATCCAAACAAAAACAAGAAGACCAAATTCCTTCCAACACACGTTCTTCATAAGACCGACCTAGGAAGCTCAATATAATGTTACAAACTAGCTCAATACATAATAACCACTTGATAGATTTAAAACCGTGACAATGCTATTCAAATAGCTTGAAACTTAATACTTTTATCGGGCTTAAAACTCTCACCTCTTGTTTTAATGATTCTTCAGCTTTGGTTTCACTACCATTGTTGGGATCACTTGGTAAAAGCATGTAATCCGCCTCTACACTATAGCCTGACATTGTTATTGTTCATACTTTTGTTAAGAAAACATGAAAGAAATTGTAATAAATATCCAATTTTTTAATTTTGGCAACATGAAAGAGCTTTAAACGACACACCAATAGACTCCAAGCACTTTGCAGCCTCCTGAAATGGTAAAAGACCATTTTTAAAATAAGCACATTAAACATATGTAAGGGAAATAATTATGAGTTCAAGAATAATCACATGACATTAGTGTCTCATTTTATGTTTGTTTGTAGTTGAAACAAGTAATTTCTCATTTTGACGATGACTTGTTAACACCAAATTAGATTTCCTGGTAAAAAAACATGTTGTTGCTTGTCACTCAAATCTCAATTTACATCAAGGCACATGTTTTTCTTCATGTGAAGTATAAAACTACTATAAAACAATAAATATTACCTTTTTCGTAATGGTTTCCTTTTTCCATGTAGCAACGCCTTTGCAAAAGGCCTTAGTCGATGTGACTGCGGATTTAAGTATATATATACACATGATATCTCATTTGATCAATAAACATATATGGAGAACTAAAATGATGCAAAACAAATACCTGTAAAAATAATAATTAGTAGGACTGTGACCATCCAATCGGCGAAAATAACGTTCAGGGAAACTCCAATACTAATCCCCAGCATTAACATTGGTTGGATAAGAAGTGCTAAGTCATAGTCAATGATGGGCATATCGAGTGTTGGATGCCTTAGCTTAAGATTGTAGAAAACAGTCATGGTGGATGCACCCATGATCATACCTAGAGAAAAAAAAACAAAAATATATAATTAACTCTTCTTGTTTATTTAGTAGTACTTTTTCATGGATAGAAATGAGTTTATAGGGAGGGAAGAAGGGAGGTAGGAAACATAAATAAAATGCAAATAGATAGGGTTTATATTAAGTATATTTCTCCTAAGAAAACTATTTATTCTATATTTATTGAAATTATCTTTTCCTTATTTTTTTTTACATATTTGTATTATAACTACTCAATGAAATATCCTTTACAAGTGTGGATGTCTTTATCAAATCATTCATGGATTAGTGTTTCCGTTCACTTAAAAAAACACCAACTACTGACCTTGCTACCTTAGCCTTTTCCCGTTTTCTTGATGTGTCATCTTAGGCGCCTTTCTAGGCCCAATCCACCACCAACCCATATGCTCCCTCCAACAGAATATTGCATCTGTCACCTAGCTTAATATTGTTTATGCTAGTGCATTCCCTCTTTGTGCTGATCGGATGTAGGATTAGTTCACCATTAATAAAAATAAGTGGTTATCCTGTCACAATCACTAATCTAACACACTTCAATTCCCTCTGCCGATAAGTACACATCAATACATCACATGACTAACCACGCACGTTTAGGTATATTTAAAATGTGGTGTATTTCTATTTTATCTCATTTACAGAATAATGTTCTTCATGTTGCTCTATTTGCAAATAAAAAATCCAAAGCGTTAAAAGTACTGCCAAAATCCCAAATGGTTTTCTGGTAGGGATTAAGAATTCCAAACTTTCCATATAAATAACACATGGATTCTTATTCCTCGACTAACTATCTCCAATATAGTTGGCTCTAAATGAGTATTTTAGACTATATACCACTCAGATGGTTCTATTGATTAACTTAAATCATGCCTTTTTTGCTCAAAATTTTTACCAAATACAAAGTCTTAACTTTTCTCTCACCTTTAGCCCGGTTGTCAAAGCATGCATTCTGTATTGTTATCTATCATGTTGTGTTAAATAAATGGCTAATTTATCACTTAGATGTCAAGAATGTCTTCTTAAATGGACATCAAACAAAAATAGATTTTATCGAGAAACCACTAATTTTTATTCATCGGTAATTTCCCCCATCATGTTCTCTATCTCAAGACAACATTGTAAGGCCCCAAGAAGACACCTCGTGTCTTGTTTTAATGACTCGACAACTTCCTCAGCTCGATACATCCTTGTTTGTGTTTCAACAAGGTTGTTGCAATTTATATCTTTGGGTTTATGTTGATGATATTATTCTTAGAGTAAATCATCTAGATACTATTGCGAGATTAATCTCTCGTCTAAACCAAGAATTTTCCATCCAGGATCTTGGTCTTATCATTTACTTTCTCGGCCTCAAAGTCGCATATATAATGGTGGGATTTTCTAAGTTAAGTAAAATATGTTCATGATGTCCTTGTTTCGGCTAGCCTTCTAAATTATAAACATATATCCACTCCTATATTGAGCACTGACAAACCCTTTATAGATCCTACCACCTATTATTCTTTAGTTGGTATGTTGCAATACCTCAACATCACTCACCATAACTTATATTATATTATAAATCAAGCCAGTCAGTTTTTTGCACGCACCACCACTAGATCACCTTCTATCAAATGAATTCTTCGATATTATGTAAAGGGTATGATTTTAGTTGGTCTTTCATTTCACCATTCACTAACTTCTAATATACTAAGTTATTCAAATGTTGGTTTCTTAAGACGCTTTGTTCCACTTATAGCTATTTGATGTTTCTTGGGGAAATCTTATTTCCTTGAGTGCTAAGAAACAACCCACTATCTCTCGTTCCAACTGTGAATCAAAGTATCATGTTGTGTCCAATATTATTGTTGAGATTGTCAAGGTCACTTATATACTCCACAAGCTTCATGCCCAACCCCCAAATCGCCCTATAGTTCTATATGATAATGAAAGTGTCAATTCATCGGCCAAAATCCTGTATCACATAAGTGAGCTAATCACATTGACATTGACTATAATTTGTCTGTGAGCTCGTTTGTTTCGGGAAACGATATACTCGTTTCTCACAAGCTTCAATGTCAAACATGTTCACCAAGAGTCCTCCCAAACCACTTTTTTAGCACTTCTACTCCAAACTATGTTTTTGCTCCCCTGTCATTCCCATTGAGGGGGTATTAAGGATAAATCTCGTAAGGAAACTATTTAGCCTATAAACTATAATGTATTTATTGTATTTGTCTTTTCCTTATTTTTGTACATATTTGTATTATAAAATACTTAATGAATTATATCCTCTACAAAGGGTGGTGAATTTATCAAACGTACAAGCTAAGGTCGAATTTGGTACTTCGGTTATGTTTGTTTGATGGATTAGCTAAAAAGTTAGCACTTAGTTGATAAAAAAAATAAAGTTTGCTAAAATTATTGATAAGCTAGCTGAAATATATATGACAATTAGTTTATAAGTTACTTTTTTAATTGTCATACATAACAACCTAAAAAACTTAAAAAATAAATTAGATTATAAACTAGTTGTTAACTTAGCCATTAGCCATAAACTACTGTCCAAATACTCATATAGGTAATGGAAAGGGAAACAAGAAGGGATTGGATCTTGTGTGTTAAAGCAAACGCAACTCATATCGGTAATCCACAAACACAGGGTGAGGGCTTACACGATGCGAACAAACCTGTCATATGATTAATTGGTTATCGATTATTTGATATGGATGTCTAGATTTTTGCTATTTTAACTATAAATTGCATAAGTGAACATTGTTTTATGCTTTTGTATAAAGAAATTATATTTCATTTTATATTTTTACCTGTAGGAATTTTAAATGAAAAGTATTCTTGACTTGTTGCAGAGAACAAGATAAAAGAGTAAACAAAAAAAAAAAAAAAAAAAAAAAAAAAAAAAAAAAAACCTGATACAGTTATTAATCACCTTGAAACTATAAAAATCGCAAATATAAAGTTTTAATAATTATATTTGTACGAGCATACTTTTTTAAAACAAAAAGCGATGGGATCATGAGAAGCTACTTAAAGGAGCTCCATCAACAAAATTTCTTCTTTCAAGCTTAGCAGCCTTATAAAATTGTAAGTTCTTTTTCCCCATTTACTATTTTACATGGAATTTACCAATTTCACTATAAGTTTTAGTAATTTGAAGGGGCATTTTTTCTCCAACCGGCCCTTTAATTTTATGGTGTAACTGTTATATATCCACATGTATATATATATATATATAGTATTTGTATCTATCTATGTATGTAAGTATGTGCATGTCTTTGTGGGTGCGTGTGCATGTATTGTTTCTTACATTTTGAAATGCCCGTAGCAGATTTAGGATCAAACCCAATAATCAGGGTAAGCATAGGAACGAATATACCACCACCTCCGACTCCTGCTGCACTCCCAAATATTGCTCCACAAAAACCGATGAAACTACCAAGCACAATTTTCCACCCTAATTCCATTTCCTGTACATGAAACAAATTAAAGATTGTTCGTGAATATATATTTCGTTTTTACAACATATAAGCAGCATATTGATCATTCATGTGTCTATCATGCGCATGTTAATTGCATATGGTTGCATGCACTGGTTCGAAACAGTGATGGGTCCAAATGGGTGCAGTTGTCGTCATCAAAGTTTTGTAGTTAATTAAATCACAATATAAGCTATAATCAATAATTAGGTACCCTTCGTGATATATCTTACTATCTAAAAGGTTGGTTTTATAGACTCCATGTATGAGATCACTCTTTGGTCAGTCACTTTATTTGATCTAACGTGGATCAGAGACCGGTCCAACACTTCTCTTTGCTAACAGAAAATACATATGAAAAGCAAACCAAATACGAGTTATAGTCTTAGACAAGTGAAGGGGAACTTACAGGCCAAACATGCTCATAACCAGATCCACTTGTTTGAAACAAAGAACTTGCGAATTTCACAAAAGAGCCATATCTCAAATTACCATCGACATTCACTGCTGCTGATGCTGCCAAATCTTCTTTCAGTAGACTTCTGTCGGCTGAAGCAAGCATCGAAGCTGTCATCAGGCTTATCACAGTCACAGTTATGATCCACCATCTTTTCAATCCAATTTCCGCCATATGATTCAGTAATGGAGCAATCCTACGAAATACTAGAATTCAGACACAAACACTTCTTTCCTACTGTGTTGTTCTGAAATTTGATATAGTCTCGCACTTACGTTCTTCTTAATAATTTGCGATATAATAGAGTTGGTCATAACTTATAGAGGGGCCATAAAATGCTCTATAGACGAGTACAAAAGACATGGGCATATTCAACTGCAATATTAATATGTAGGAGAGGGTAGAATATTTCAAGATGACAAAGGAGATAACTGCGTGACCATCACGGTTGCACGAGAGTAGTAGCACGTCCCTTTCAATTTAGTCGTCTACCATGATAGCAATTAAGGTATTGGTCAGCACCAATATTTTAGGGTGTCCACTAGTGAAACAACTAGAAATTAAATATCAACCAAGATCTTATTCGTACTACTTTGATTTACATAAAACTTTTAAGTCATATTCTTTGCTTTTCAAAACCTTTATCTATATATCTATATTATTGTCATTATAAATTTTATAATATATAGAGATCATCCAAATGAACCTGGTTCAAATCTTGAACCATATTCATTTAAAACTTCCAACATTCATCAACTTCAAATAATCAATCACAGCATTATTAAGCTAGTTTAATATTAAAATCTTTCAAGCTTCAAAAGCTTCAACTAATTAATCATTAAAACTCAATAGTTTATGACATCTAATATTTTAATATAATAGTAATATATAATTCACATATTTATATTATATTATATCTTGGAGAATTAAATAGATTGAAACCAACAAAACAATGAGCAAAAAGGATGCTTTGGGGCAGAATTACTTCACTTCAGTGTTTTGATGATATCGATTACTCAATGTTCCGATTGACGTGAAGTTGTTGTGGAAGGTAGACAAAACTATTAGCAACTTTCGAGTTTTGAGTTTTTGTTAATCATGTCATTATTAAAGCCGAAATCAGCATTTTGAAGACAAAAGTATTTACAACTTTCGTGTTTTGAGATTTTCATAACCCTTCCATCCCACGTTTAAACCTCATGCAATCTTACATTTCATGCAAAAAAAAATAAATAAATAAATAAATAAAAATAAAAAATTATATCACACATTTTCATGATGACACACAAATGTGTGTCATTCAATCCTCAAGAATATATGAAGAATGAAGATGACATGCATTTGTGTATGTCGTAAATTTTGACATTCTTTTAGAAATTCTTGATAGACATTTTCTATGTCATGACATTTGACAGATTTTATAAATGTTTTTTTTTCCAAATTTACTAATATTCAAATTAAATCACATATTAAATGTCTTATAATAAAAAATATCATATCATACGCAGAAAAGACAATTCATTGTATAATATATATATAGTATGTCAAATACAAATAATAATTTTAATCGTAAATAAATATAATACATTGATAATATAGGTTACATCTACTACTAAATTAGAAAGTTTTTATATTGAATTTACTCTAAACATGATGAATCTCAAATGACAAACAATGAATCTTTGTGACCTAACCCTTTTGTAAAAGCTTGTTTAAAAATCAAATGGAAAACATATAATGGTTATACATGAATCTTCTTTCACCTTTAGTTCATTTTCATCCCTATAACACAACAACAAAAATAGCTCAACATATTGGAAATGAAGAAAAAGTATTTCACAAAGCTAAAAAAGAGTTTAGAATGAAAAGACAACATATATTCCCATCCATGGACCCCTCGCCTATTTCCCCTATGATATTGCATCTTTAAGTGCATCATACGAGCTAACATCCACAATGTTTATGTACAAAAATAACCATAAATACCCACAAGGTGGAATCCAAAACATTCATTTCTTAAAGAAATATTTTCCAAATGTTTAAAGATGATGACATTCTTCTTACTCTCCTCTTCCTTTTCAAGAAACATCCTTTATTTCCTCTTATTTGTGAGGAAGAAAGGTAACAAAATTACTCATCTAAAATAAATCTTATGGTTATTAATAAACAAACCATTCCTGCAAAATAAACACGTATATTATATTAGCACCAAGGAAGTTGTCCCTGTGAGGCAGTCAAATGATTCATCAGTTCACATGAAGCGTTATATGGCATGTGAACAACTCATACAAAACCCATGATATGTAAATAAGTAGATATGAAACCATGATTCTTGTTTTAGAGAATCTTATATTTTTTTTAAAAAAAAATCCATTTTGTTAAGTGTAACATCCCCCTCTGGCACGTATCACAATATTGTCCGCTTTGGGGTCCCGGCACGAAAACTTCCCAGGGGGGCACCCATCCCTGAATTGCTCTCGCCCGGGGACGCTTAACTGCAGATTTCTAATGGGCTCTACTGCCCTCACGACTTTAAAACACATTGTGATAGGGAAGGTATATGCAACCCTTATAAGGAATGCTTAGTTCTCCTTCCCAGTCGATGTGGGATCAGGTGCAACCCACCTTCACCCCCCATTATAGGGTTCAACGTCCCTGTCGAACACATCGACTCGTTTCCTAGCCCTGATACTAGTTGATTCAAAAACCTTTATCAGTGTATCGTTAAAAAGTTATTATATACGGAAATCTCCAATGGATGCGATGCAATCGAGTTGCGCCCCTCCTTTAGTATAAGAAAAACTGAGAACATTTAAACCAAAAACCATAATTACAAATCTTAGTGAGTTCCCCAAAATACCACATAACATACATAAGCTCGGGCCCCGCCCACATATCGGGCCACGCTCATCATAACGGGCCCCGCCCAACATACATAATGGTCCCCAACCAACATACATATGGGTCCCTGTCACAACTAGCATTTTTAGCTAGGAAATTCTATTCTCATGCAAACATCATCTATTGTAAGGCATGTACTCTAAGTGATAATCATACTCTATGCTCAATCAAAACCATTCATTTGAATCCGAACTCTTGATTTAAGTTCAAACCTAATACAATACGTCTCATATGGAATGAAAATCCTAGAAATCCCGGTTCAAGTTGATATGGACTATGATCCTCTTATTGGGCTTAATGGACCAATAAACTTTCAATTTAACTATTTTGGGGCCAAGGAACTCTAATTGGGCTCTAACTGAACCCACTTTCATGAAACTAAAACATTTTGGGCCATGTGGGCCTAGAATAGTTCATATAATCTCTAATGGGCCATGTTGGGCCATAACTAATTTCATTAGTCCTAATGGGCCATAAACTCAAACTTTTTCATCTTATTAGGCCGTGAACCCTCATAAGGGCCCAATGGGCCGAGAACCATCCATTTGGGCCTCATAATATCGAAATCAAGCATGAAGGGCCCAAACTACTTCTCCTTTCTTCTCTTCATTCCCTCTCTCGGCCCAACATAAAAAAAAAAGAAACAAATGGAGGATATTTGAGGTGCCACCTCATAATTATCTAGTGGTTCTTCATGTTAATTACCCTTCAAATAAACCACTTATCTCATGTATTAAGGCATCTATCACATCTCAACCTCTCACCTCTCTTTCTCTCTTCTTCTAACCTCGGCCGAACACACCCCTCACCACCTTCATTTTACTTTCAAAATCTCTCAAAAACTCTCTCAAGAACTTCCCTCTTCTCCTCAAAATTTTGTGACTTGGGTGGGTGTTTTCAAGAGGCTTTCATCAAGTTTTTCACACTCTTGGTAAGTTGTTATCATACACAAACACCTACTCTCCATTTTATGTTGAGAACTCTTCCTTACTTAGGTTCATTTCGTGTTCTAGCTTGCTACGACCATCTAAGTTTGAAAATGTAAGTCCCAAATCTACTTGTATATCAATCAGATTCGTTTGATAGTGCGGAATCCCGATCAAACGGATGATGCCAGATCTATAGAAGAAGAAAGAGAAGAAGAATAAACTTGAATCTATGATGTATTCAAAGATATGCGTGATAAACAATACACATAAGATTCTCTCACACACACTCTTATTCTCTCTAGTTTCTCTCTCTACAATATGCTCTCCTTCTCTCTAGCCTCTTGCTCTTCATATGCACTCCTCATCTTTTATATATATGAGATAGTTGGACGTACACGGGTTTACGGCCGTAAACCCGTGTACGGCTGTACACACAACCGTAAACACATATTACTTAACAGAAAAATACATTTTCCTAGAAAAGCAAAGTATAAACCAAATTTTAGACCCAACAATCTCCCCCTTGGTTTATAGCTTTCTTTTCTAATTGACCCAACAAGCTCCCCCTAAAAAGTAGTTGGCTTTTCTTGTTAATCTTCATTGGGAGCTTGGCTTCAGCATTAATCTTCAAATTCTTCACAACTTCAAGATGAGCTTTATGAATCTTCAATGAATGACTTCATCTTGAGCAGTTGGGCTTTTCTTCAAAATTTGACACTGAACGCACGTTGGGTGAGGAGGCTTCTTGAAAAGATTCTTGAAAGATGGCGCTTTCAGGTTGAGAATCTTCAGATAGAACAATAGAGAGATCTAATCTTCTGGATCACTTGAGTAGGTACAAGATAGCAGCAAATTGATTGAGGAGGCTTCAATGCAAATTGTCACATAATCTTCAAGAACAGTTTGACCTTGCTTCTAGGGTTGAAAGATTGAATGTTGAAAGAATAATCTTCATTTCTTGCTCCTTCGAATGAGAATTCTTCGATGATCACGGATGAAGCATTGGCTCATAAAATCTCGATACAGTCTCCATGAGTCTCATCTACATCTGAATTTACTTTTCAACACAAAGCAAAAACTAAAAGAAAACTTAGCACACAATATTTTTGGATTTTTCATATTTTCTGAAAAATAAATAAAACATAAATAACACTAATTTTTTTTTTGTTTTTGTTTTTTTTTTTGAATTTTTTGAATTTTCTGATTTTTGTTTGGTTTTTTTAAAATTTTAAATTTTCCCCCTAATAATTTTTTAAATTAGAAGAAAAAATATGAACAAATTTGACAAAAACAAAAATAATAGCTAACTTTAAGAGTTATTTGGGATTAAAGTTTTTAGACAGCCTTTATCCATTCATCAGTACCTCTCCCTTCATGAATAGATCTGGTCAATCGCCGGTATTGTGGTCCACTTAAACACGAGAGATTGTGACAAAATTAGGACATACTACAAGTGACAAGACAATGTGATCATATATTCCTAGATAATATTCCTAAAGGACCATTCAGCTGACGACGACCAAAGATATTGTTGT